TAAAGTCTTATTTGAACGCTAGAAGAATCCGTCTTGTTTATCTTGACACGACTGATCTGACTGAACACGATATATTGGAACAGAGTCTGAAAGTCTAAACAGATCTTAACGTTTTTCCCTAGCGGTAAATTAAGTCGATCAAGACTTGATCAGACCAAAATGACCGTTTCAGACTGAAATTTTGCTACAAGGGTATATAGATTCTATGTATTCATTTCCTTCGACATTTCCATTGGTATGTTTATAACATTGGCTTCATTCTGTATTTTGGAATAAAATCCTTGTAAGGCTACATTTAACCTTTTTAACGAAAAATAATGTCGGATTGATAATATCTTTTTATTTCAAATACTAACATACCTTGTAGAAACCTTGTATATTAAACTCAAGCTTCTATATCACGCCTTGTCAGAACGGAAGTCTGTTTGTTTACATTTTTGATCATATTAACTGGAAAAAAAGTGGTTACATTTGAAAAAAAAACCATCGAATCACTCGAAAAACCACGATCCTAGCCAGGCACTATACCTACAATGTTTAACTGTACTACAATCTGTTGATCCTTTATTCTGACATTGCACAATGGCATGTTTTTCTCAGACCATTTAAGACCTCTTTACACTAAATCCATTGGATGTTTGATATTTACTGATTTATATTTTAGTCTTAGATGCATGATCATTTTTTATAGATGTTATTGGCTTTGAACTAGCTGCTTTAGTAACTGTTATTACTCCTGGATCTGTGCTAGGTGTCTTTTTTGTTTTTTAGGGATGAGGGATTAATGGATACCATTCCACGTCCGGTCTGTGTTTGTGTGATGTTTGTCTACTTTGTGTAATTCTAAAGAGTTAAGCATTTTTCAACTGATTTTTATGCTTTGTTCTTGTGTTGTGTTGTTGCACCGCTGTCCAAGGTTGGCGAGGATTGGGCGCTCGTAGACGTGTTTGGACCCGTAACACTCTTTGTGTGCCTGTCCCGTGTCGGGAGCGTGTAGTTCAGTTGTTGTAGTTGGTTCATGTCTGTTATGTTTCTTTTTCGTTGATTATTTTTTTGTGCATTTGGCAGGGGAAAAGATGCATACAAGTAACGTTTGAAATTTAATTCCTGCAGTTGTGATGATACCGGAGATTATACATGTGAAGCATATAATAGAAATGATGGCAATATAACCTTTGCAAAGAAAACTGCCTCGTTGGTTGTATATTGTACGTACTGATAAACCTTTCTGAAAGTTGTTTACAGTTTTTATTATATGACTCAACTGCTACATGTATAGTTCTAACAAAAAAACAAAGTCGTGGCCAAGAAGAAAAAAAAATCTGAAAAGTCAAACATTATTCTTCAGAACACTATACAGAAAACCAAAGTCTTGGGAACACGATCTCTATCAAAAATGGCGGGTCTTTGTTGCTTTGAACGGGTTAGCATATCCTGGTCCTCAAGGGTCACTCTTCGTGTTTCTCGTGTAGGTATGCAACAAGTGATATGTTGCAATAAATGCTAAGTTGATTGAATATATTAGACGAAACTATAAAATAGATGGCCACTACAATGGTACAAAATTAGAAATAAACACGGGGAAAGCTTCAAAACAAGTCAGTGTTGACCATTCAGTCAGTTTAGTGTCTGCAAAATAATTTATTTCGATATTCAGGTAATATTTTTGTTTATTAAAGAAACACACTGATATTATACATTGCATGCATATATATCCCGTTGGTATTTTTTGCCTTTCGTTTATCGTTTATTGTTTTTTTTCCAATAGTAGTAATATTTCTCTAGTACTACTGTTATTTTCACTTTGATACAAAACATACATTTTACTTACGTACTGTTATTAATTTCTTTAACGCCTTGATAATATAATGTACCTGTTTTGACAAATAAAAAATACCTTTCACAAATATCAATGTATATATCATACAATGATTAATTGTTAATCTTTCTCTCGGAACAAAATATTTCGTGTATGTTGTTTAAGAAGTATGCAAAAAATATGTATTCATCTACATAGTATTTAAGGAATCAAGTATTTCAAAACCGGTACGGATTTATTTCCATGTTCTTTCTTATCAAGAAGTCTGTTTCAGGTCCACCGATTATAAAGTCTGAAGAAACAGTTACATGCACCAATTCATCGGTTACATTGTCGTGTAATATTGATACAGGACTCCCTGTTTACGGGTTTAACCAATGGATACACTATTTTAATGGCACATTTGTTCGCAGTTTGAATGGATCCGTGCAAGAAATGAAATCGATTTTAGAGATTGAAACGTGTAGTTACCAGAATGCCGGAGAATACATGTGTGCTGCATGGAATAAATATGGAGATGAAATTCTAGTGGCAAATAAGACTATTGTTCTTGTTGTTAATGGTAGGTCTGCGTTATTGTTTAATTTCATGATCTCTTCAATTACATTAAGATGCAAAGCACTACAATGTGTAACAACCTGGACGTGTAATAAGATGTTAATGATCGGACGGACACAACCTATTTAGAAACAACCCTCTCAGATCAACTGTAATCATATATTGCCACCGAAAGCCAAACCTTGTTATGAATTAGATACATACACCGAAACAAGTATTAGAAAATCGAAGAGGGGAATGGTCCTTAATACTCCACTTTAATAGAAATAATTAATGCTTGCGAGCAAAAGCTCAGCGCAAAATCATGTTAACTATCTCTTGTTAAGGTCAAGTTTAAAAATGAAGGTTAATCACAATGACCTTTTAACATTAGACTTTTTTTTACATGTATCTTATACATTAAAAGGAGAGCAATGCCTTTGGAGGAAATTTTACTAAGCATTGAATAAAGCCACACACTGGTTATTTTGTTTTCTATAAAGCTTCTATCACTCTGTATTTATGAAATCCTCTTTTAAAATTCATTCCACAAATGCCGGCCATAATGCAAAACTCTAACTCAAAGGGACTTTTCCAAGTGACTTCCTAGGTGTGTGGCCTTTCAGTTAGTAAATTGGAAACCGTTATATTTAGAAAAACCTTCTATGGGAAATATTTAGCACATCAAGTCGCAACTTTGTATGTTTGACCACAACATTTCTTTAGTCTTTAAGGTAGATATTCAACTTGGGAAAAAAATTAAAGAGCGCCAACACTATCCGCGCCAACCCCATATCAATTTTTTTCATAGCCATGATTTCATGAGGTACCTAGATTCAATGTTTGTGTATCTCAAACTATCTATATGATTGATCTTGTTAAATATAAGACATCGAAAGTGAAGGATGTGCAAAAAACTATTAGCTTTATCAAAAACTTTAAATATGTTCAACAAAAAAATAAATAAATACACATACATATAAAATACAAAAAAAATGGAAAAAAACAAATCACAATAGCACGAGAAAAAATACTGTAGTTGTTTACACGAAGTAATTATAAAAATATGCATGTGATAAACCACTAGGCTGACAAAGTTATGAAAAAGCAATCAATTTGAACAGTTCAAATCTAACTAGATTATATACATCGTTTTTTTTTTCTTTAATTTGAGCTTCACCAGTGATAATCTCGTCGGGCGTAATCCTGGGACAACAAACAACCCTTTTTGCGACATTTTACTCTTCTACAGAGGTGATTCTTACTTGGCAGCAATCAAACCAGACACTTACCAATTCGACAGACCGGTTGCAAACGGTAGATAGAAAGAAGATTGAACTTATTATTTATAATAAAAGCATTGAATGTGGTGGATATATTGCTCATTTGTCAATCAGATCATCTTTAATTGGGGAATACGTTTTATTTATCCAGAATACATTTAATGAAACAAGACTCTTTTTTGACGTGAATAAGTTAAGTACACAAGGTAAGATATGTCGTATTCTTCAAATAAGACATTTGGTGCGTATAAATGTTTGAAATCGAATCCATTATGTGTAAACTATATTAAAAGCAATCATACCAATAGTTGTTTTATACACATATGCACTTTAACGGTACTACAATCTGTCGATCCTTTATTTTGGCATTACACAAGGTCATGTTTATCTGTGACTGTTATTGAAGTCTTTTCATTAAATCCAATAGATGTTTGAAATGTACTGATTGATATTTTTGTCTTATATTCATGATTATTTTTTATTAGGTTTCATTGGCTTTGAACTAGCTGTCAATAACTGCGAGTGCGTCCAGATCTCTGCTAGTTGTAATTTTATTGTTAGGAATGAGGGGGTGATGTATACCCTGCCAAATCCAATCTGTGTTTGTGTTTGATTATATATTCTGCTTTGTGTAGATCTGATGAGTTAGGCCTTTTTCAACTGATTTTATGGTGTGTTCTTGTGCTGTGTTATTGCACCGCTGTCCCAGGTTGGGTGAGGATTGGACACTCGCAGACGTTTTTGGCCTCGTCACATTCTTTGTTTCATGTTTTTCATGTCGGGGCCTTTTTTGGCCGTCTGTGCAGTGTCGGTTTTTTCTCATGGTCGAGGGCCGTGCGGTTGCCTATAATTGCTTACATCTGCTTTGTTTGAACCTTGGTGGATAGTTGTCTCATTGGTAATCATACCTAATCTCTTCATGTTATGCACATGTTGCTGTCGAAGGTAAAGTCCATTCGATGAAATACTTATCAAATTATAGAAGTCCCTCATTTAAGATACCATGCAACACACATATATGATAAATATCAGTCATATTATGTCATATACTTACAAAAATGCACATGTTTAATTACGCATTAAATGTTGCATAATAAATTGAATTTATTATTTCAAACCTACTCTACTATGAAGTTTAATTATATGATAACACAAAATGTAATTCATATGTTTGTCATTCTGCGCATACATAAATTGAAAGTTTATGATTTTATTCAGATACACGTTTTTTGTTGTATGATTCTATATTACTAAATATTCGATATATCATATTTTTTTTCAAATTGCAATTCATTTGTTTTATTCAATTTTGTTGATTTTATTATCATTATAATGATTATTTGTTTAGATATGACAGCTACTTTCGATTTACGTACAGTGATGTTTTGTATTATTGCCATTGGAATATTTATTTTGAGTACAGCTGGAACAGTACTCCTGTCGAAAGGGATACGACGTAAAAGTATGTTTGTTATAACATATATATTTTCTTAAATGGACTTCCACATTATACTGTACTTTAAATCAGTAGCCAGTGCTCAGTACAGATATGATTGATTACATAGTCTTCTAAAATTCCTTTTTGATCACGAAACTACTCAAAATCGAAGATTCCAACTCCCTTCCACAATGTTGACTAATCATGATTGGTTCCCTCATTTTGAATTAGCTTTAAACATTTCTACATATTTATTTAGTGTTCTGATGAAGGTTAATCCAGAAAAGCGAAAAAGGATTACACATTTTATAAAATATTATTTAAATTTACCAGCAATGATTCGATACCACTGCTGTTATTGTTTTATAGCAGTGTCTTCTAAACAATAAACGTATGATATAATTTTCCTTGCGTGCGTCAAGTGTTATTCAAATATCATTTGTAACACTCGAGTTTTAACTTTTCTTAATCCAACAATAAAGTGTAACATTTGAGAGCATACTCTATGTTTCAAATAATATAGAGTGTTTATACAACTTATACAACTGTTATGCGAATAAAAGTCATCTACTAACAATATAATACCACAGTCAGTTTATATTTTTGGAGATTAAACGTTAGCAAAAAATATGTGTACTATGCTATCTTTGATTGTCGCATGTATTTCTTGGTGATATAGTTGAAACGTCAAAATTGCACAAATTTACATATTAGAGCTCGTCTTATCTAATGCTGATTTATCTATAATTGTATGTTGGATTTCTGATAAATCACACCAAAAGAGGTAATTAAATCTAAAGAATATAAATTAAAAAACAATCACCAGTCAATTAAAAATCGTACAAAATTTGTCTTTCAATGGTCTTCAGAATACATGTAACTGTGTGTGTGTGATATTGCAGATGTTATACATATAATTGGTCCACATGAAAGATGTCCTACAGTTCCAATGTGAGTAATGATAATAATTTTTATTTCTATTATATAGATTGAATTTGTCTATTTTGTTTCATGCAATTGTTATTGTCATAAAAATATCGCCTGCAAATCACGCATTACTTTGACAAAATATTTCATAGAGTGTAATTTAGTAGTATGTTAAACTTCACTTACCGCGCAGTATTCTGTAGTTGCCTGTCCCAAGTCAAGAGCATGTTTTGTGCATAGATTAAGGCGTCAGTAGTTTATGGATGTTCAAATAATCGATTATGAAAAAACAGACAAATTCATGAACTCAAAAAGGAACAAGAGCGGTTCCGTCGACAGTGTAAGTGTCTTATTCTGTGATTGCATCTCCCGCCATGCAAATTCACACTCAATCAAAATGTCGTAATCGGGTATTAGACGCATTCGGTAAAATCTATATAACATCTTAACATCTAAGACAATTGGAAAGCTGAAGTCATCCCGGTTGGTATACATTCTAGTTTTAAGTCGTCCGTATGTGTCAATATCGAAACATGAAATTAAGCAATGAAGTGATTTCTTACTTTCGGTAGTTTTCACTTGGAGATGTTTCACTTGTTGAAATATCTGTTATTAATTGACAGAACATAATTCCCGTATCAGGTCATTGATTTTCAAGTTTTAACTGTTTTTTACAGGTTGTCATGTAAATCAATGTTATTATTGTTATGTCGTATTTTGTTTTTTTTTTTTTTTTTTTTGCTTTTTAAACAAAAAATAAGGATGTTCTCTCTTTCAGTGTTAATTTCCTTATTATAAATCATTTTCTGATCTCTCTCTCGCGGTTTATGTGTTAAATAAAGGCAACAATAGTATACCGCTGTTCAAAAGTCATAAAACGATTGATAGAAAACAAATCCGGGTTACAAACTAAAACCGAGGGAAACACATCAACTATAAGAGGAAAACAACGGAACAACAGACACACTGAAGTGCAACAAAAACAAAAGCATAGAAACGAACTATTAGATAACAACTGTCATATTCCTGACTTGGTACAGGATATTTTAAAACAAAATGATGGGTTGAACCTGGTTTTATGGCTTGCCAAACCTCCCGCTTTTATGGCAATGTTACAAATGCCGCTAAAATGACAACATAACGTGACTGGAATACAGTACAAATAAATGCAAGAACATTCAGGACAGAGAAATACATAAAAATGTAATATAACAGTACATTTCGACATGTTAACCCCGGAATAACAACGAACACCTAAAATCATTTTACGACAGTACACAAATACAGCATAATAGAATTATGAACTAGGCGTCACACGAGTGTATCCACGCAACAAAAAGTGACGTCACAGGTAAATTTCTAAAAATTGAATATAAGTTTGTAATGGTGTTATTTGATTTTTTTTCTAAAATTTACTAGAAACTGACTCTATTTTAAAAGAGTAAAATCCATTTTATTCCTTTTTATAATCTTTTTTAATGTTTACTATAAATGAATGCAAATTTCATAAAGAAACACACAATTTTTACAATATTCCATGTTTTTATTCTTAAAATTGATAAAACTTAAATTTAATGTTAGGGAAATTTCCCAAAATATATGAAAGTTTTAAAATATTAGTGGTAAATATGTATGTGACACTTGTTATTCGGGAAATGTCCCGAAATCATTTTCAACATTATTATTTATAACATATTAAAAATTGTTGGCAAAGCGTTTTGACAAACTGATCTGAAACACATTTCGGGAAAAATCCCGACAAAAATAAACTAAGTACAAAATGTATAACACAGATGTCTTCAAATATTTGGGGATTTATCCCGAAAATCTATGTAAATGCTAGAACTCATGACTAATAATTTCTTTCACATTTCGGGAAAAATCCCGAAAATATAAATCTATTATCAGGCACACACTTGGTGCATAGTTTTTTTTACCCATTTCAGGAAAAATCCCGAAATAAAATCTACAAGCAAATATTATGCTACAGATTTCTTAAACATATTGGGAAAAATCCTGAAAAACAAAATCTTTAAGATTTTACAACACAGAATTTTGATAGATTTAGAAGGTTTTTATGTAAACATGAAATATAATGTTTGCTCTCTATTGCATCTCTTTTGCAACATGCTATATTTGACTAAGTGCATATAACAGGTTAAACATAGAAAATAAAATTCCATTAAAAAAACTTGTTTTAAAAATTATTTCTTAATTAAAAAGACTAAGATTGATGATAGGTATGGTATTTAATAATGCATATATATGCAATTACTACGCGGCACGCGCTAGTTAACTAATAAACTCACATATAGAAATACAATCACTACAATGTTTTAAAAATAGTGGTTGCATTAAAAGGAGCTAAAAGGTACCAACAAGATTTGCAGGATGTATACATGCCTATACAAATAAGATGATATTGCATTATTACATTTATACCAAAAAGACACAATAATTTGAAAGATATCAGGAAGTATGCAGTCCTTTAAACTATGTTTGGCATTCTTTTCCTCTTGTTTATCTTCATATCTGTGTCTTTTAAGACTTGAGTCAATTTGTCCTCCAAGATTTCTATGTATCCTACAAAGAAAAGTCAATTCAAGTTCAATATTTTAAAGTCCTTCAGGCATATTATTCATGATTTTTTTTCCCGGCATATTTTGTTCTTTCTTATAATCATGATAATAGATGAATTTGTTATCACAGGTCCTTTCATAACTTACTCATGTTACTGTTTGTCATTTGTTTTGTTCAATAATTGAAGCCTTACCACACTGATGATATTTAAATTTTGTTCAGATTAGGGCAGTTGTCTCCTTAGCTATCATACTGCATCATTTTTTCTAATCTGGTGTTTTCATTTTTTGATATATATATATATATATATATATATATATATATATGTGTGTTACTTTACCGATTATTACCTACAAACAAATGGGGCAAACTGGAAAAGTTTTAAAAAATAAAACATTTTTTTTTTTTACTTTTAGCGTTATCATTAGGATTAGCAATCATACTATAGATATCTTCTTCTTTTAAAGGGGGGAAAAGTTCTAATCCTATTAATTTAATTATGTTACTTTACCAATAATTGTCTGAAAACAAACAAGGCAAATTTAAATGGTTTTAAGAAAAATTTGTAAGGGTTCCAAAGAACACGGTGTCTCGCCTGTGATTGTCGCTGTCACTGTAAAATTGGCTTTCAAAGTGAGCGCATTTTTACTTGAAAAGACTCAACATAATCTAGACTGTACTTAACTGTACTTGACTTTGGTCTACAATTTAACCTAATGAGTCGAAGAGTACTTGATAATCTTGGTAAAGTCAGAATATGGTCTTGTCAAATGCTCAACCAGTCCCGACCAGTCTCTACTTAGTCTTGACCCAGTCTCCACCTGTCTTGACCTTTAAATTTAGTCTTGACTGGTCTTAAATCAGCCCAACTATATCAATTATGTATTGAACAGGTTATTTTATAATATATGGTTTATTGCTTTCAAACTTAAGGATTTAATTTTAATAGGTATAAACATGATAAAAGCTACAATTTTTAGTTTGAACTAAATTTCAGGTAGTCATCTTTAAAAATTTCTATAACTATTTCAAATCAACTTGGATTTAAAAAAAATATCTAATTTAAAAGCTCACAATCATCATTTTTGCTTTTTAAAGTTTCTATTTTCCATAAAAAAAAAAACCAAACAAACCCATCACTGACAGGCAATAACTCAACTGATGACTTTGGCCATGTGACTTATATGTAGATCTTATGGTGTTAATCATTTTTACTATTCAAAGTTTCCATCTCTTTACTATAGTTTTCAATAGGGCTAACAACAAAAAAGATGTGTTTTGATTGCCCTTCCAACCCTAATTTATCGGCTCCGACACCAAAAAAGTAAAAAATCGATGTTTAACAAAAAATTAAATGGGGAATATGTCCATGGACCACAGATGATGCCCCCGCTTGCATATCATATAAAGTTATAAAGGGACATAACTGAAGAACAGTAAAAGTGACTTTATCTAAAAACACTTGATCGGAGTTTAGTGGTAATAGGTATTGTGTATAAGTTCCATAAAATTTGGTTGATGCAAACTTAATTTAGAGAACGGAAACAAAAAAATCAGCAATTTTTCCATTTGCAAAGGGGCATAACTCTAGAAAATTTAGTGACAACTCCAAAATTCAAACTTGATCTATAGTTTGTGGTAATAAGTATTGTGTACAAGTTTCATAGCATTTGGTTGAGGCAAACTAAAGTTAGTGAATGGAAATGAAAAATTCAGCACTGTTTCAATTTGTGAAGGGGCATAATTCTAGAACAGTTAAAGTGACCCCCTAAAATTCAAACTTGATCTATATTTTGTGATTTATAAAAAGCATTGTGTATAAGTGTCATTGCATTTTGTTGAGGCAAACTAAAGTTAGAGAACGGAAACTATAAATATAAGCATCTTTTTCATTTTTAAAGGGGCATACCTGCAGAACAATTAAAGTGATGCCCCCTTAATTCATACTTGATCTGTATTTTGTGGTAATACGCATTGTGTATAAGTTTCATAGCATTTGGTTGAGGCAAACTAAAGTTAAAGAACGGAAACGAAAAAATTCAGCAATTTTTTTGTTTGTAAAGGGGCATAACTCTAGAACGGTTAAACTAAATGACGCCACCAAAATTCAAACTTGATCCGTGTTTTGTGGTAATAATAAAGCATTGTGTATCAGTTTCATATCATTTGGGTGAGGCAAACTGAAGTTAGAGAACGGAAACCAACTTTGGGAAGTATGGAAGGACTTACGTACAGACAGACAAGGGTAAAACTACTGCGGGGGCATAACAAAGGTCTTCCTTATCATGTCCCTAATTTGCACTATTTGTGAACATGAATGCTAATAAACAACTGGCCAGCTAATGTGTGCTGCCAGTACGCTTGATTATACAAATGCAACATTCAAATGTCATATAAAAAAGAAGATGTGGTATAATTGCCAATGTGACAACTCTCCACAAGAG